CTCCATTTTCTTCTTTCAGTCCAGGAATTCCTGTTCTCTCCTTTTCCTAATCTTTCTAAGGTATACATAGCTATTCGTATTCTTCTATCCTCTGGTTACCTCTGCCTTCCATTTTTGTTTCAAATCAAGATTTTTTAATTGCAATTCCCAGTTCCCAGGCCTATTGTTCATTTAGTCATCTACGTTTCTCACCGGTTACTTCTTTTTTTTATAAATTTATTTATTTATTTGTTTTTATTTTTGGCTGTGTTGGGCTTTCGTTGCTGTGCGCAGGCTTTCTCCAGTTGCGGTGTGCGGGCGTCTCATTGCGATGGCTTCTCTTGTTGTGGAGCACGGGCTCCAGGCACGCGGGCTTCAGTAGTTGCAGCATGCAGGCTCAGTTGTTGTGGCTCGCAGGCTCTCTAGAGCGCAGGCTCAGTAGTTGTGGCACACGGGCTTAGTTGCTCTGTGGCATGTAGGATCTTCCCGGACCCAGGCTTGATTCCGTGTCCCCTGCATTGGCAGGCAGATTCATAACCACTGCACCACCAGGGAAGCTCTCACTGGTTACTTTTTTCCTAATACTTTATTATAGAAAATTTCAAACATACAAAGAAGTTAAGGGAACTCCCTTGCCGTCCAGTGGGTTAGGAATCTGCACTTTTACTGCAGGGGTCCAGGTTCGATCCTGGTCCGGGAACTAAGATCTTGCAAGCCTCACAGCATGGCCAAAAAAAAAAAAAAAAAGGTTGACAGAGGTCTGTGAACACTCACGTACCTACCACCTAGGTTCTACTATTAATATTTTATTATACTTTGTCACCTATATATTCCTTTATCCATTCTTCTATCTATCCATTATTCTATCTTTTTTTGGTTTTGTATGCATTTCAAAATAAGTAGCAGTTATAAGTACACTTCAACCCTAAATATTTCAACATGTGCATCATTGACTAGAGTTCAGTATTTGTTTAGAGGACTTTTTCTTTTGAGGTGGAATTTATATAGAATGATGTGCACAGATCTTAAGTGTACCATTTAATGACCTCTGTCTTTCCTTCTAAGTCAATTGTATTCTAATAAGAGGACTAACGCTAACTAAGAGCATTATGAGGCCATACTAGCAAAACTTGTGTATTCATTTGGATTTTCCAGAAAAGACTATGAATACCACAGAGTACCTTAAAACTTTCTTCTTATTTTTGTTTTTATTATGTAAATGTGCTACAGTATAATGATTATAGTTAAAAGTGTTTTTATTTTTTCCATATTGTTCCATGCTTCACCAAGAATTCTTAGTATGGCCAATGATATCACATGATGCATGCTGGAATAAATAACTTGAGGATACTTTTATTTAGTTAAAAATATGAAATTTTAAAGAAAGGCTAGGATGGCCCTTTTGTCAGCTCCATAAGCTAAATATGTAAAAGAGCTAGTTAATTCAAGACCCTTTGAACATTTCTGGAGTGCTTTGTGGTCTTTTAAGTGCTTGCATTTATCTTAACTCATTTGAGCCTCACATTAGCCGTGTTAGGTAGTTGGGACAGTTGTTATTTCTGCTCTCTGGATGAAGACAGCAAGGCATAGGCAGTGGGAAGGACAAAGCAGCAGTTGGTCATACAACCAATTGAACTCAGATCCTCTCACTTTAAATCTTGTCCAACGGCAACAACTACAATCACACTAATTCTTTAGTTCAGGTGCTATTCTGGATCCTTGGATTTGCTTATGAATAACTAACAAAAGTCTTATTGTACAAACTAGGGTCAACTGTAATACCAATGCTGACGCGAAGACTTATGCCAATATTTTGAATTCTCTATGATGAAATATTTAGATATAAGGCAACCGCAGCCATCAGGATCCAGACAGAACTATCTAAGTGTGCTATGTTTAGAGTATGGCACACTGATATTCTGTTCTCACGAGAGTGAACAATATCATGATTGAAATGCCACTTAATGTGGCAAAATGCCTATTTTTCAGAAATGTATTACATGAGAAGCTTATTGGAGAAGAGAAAGCCTAATTGATATACCTGTTTTGGAAGGTTTATATTCCACAACATCCTTTCTTTCCTTTAGGTAGACAAATACTTAATGACAAAACCATCTGGAGAAAATCAGCTTGATGTTGGGTAAAGGACTTAACAAAAACCAGTCAGTTTTGTTCTTGTCAGTGAATGTAAAGGTTTAGCTCTTGGTTTAGTTGATAGCACTAAGGAAGAGCTGGGAGAAATTAACATGGCTCCCGATGAAAAGTGTTCTTGAGAAAACCTCCTTGGAATAGAAACTTACTGGAAGTCCTTTAGAATCAGAAACCGGAACTAATTTATTCGAGGTCACCTTTGAGTCTGTACCTTTAATTTTGGTATTTTGTTGAAAAGTAGTTTTCTATCGACTGTGCCAGAAATCTTATTTCTTTTAAGGTTTCCTCCGTCGCTGGTGTAGAATGTTCTGGAGTTGTTAGAAGATAGTTGCATAGGAGCTGAAAACCAGATTTTTCTGGTATTAGTAAGTGTGTCTGCTTACAGAATACAAATAATATAATTTTTTTCAAAAGCACTGGATTGTTTTTTGAAATAGGTAATGGTCGATCTGCCTCATGTGCAAATGAAAAAGGTGACAGGACCTGGCCAGTCATGCACGTAAACACCTGGGTACCCTTGTAGGTAGGACAGGAAGGATAAGGAAGACAGGGAAGTTCCCATTTCCTGCTCATTAGCCTGTGCCTCTGTCCCTTTCACTGTTATCTTTCTCTCTGGGTGGGTTAGCCTGGAGCTTGTTGAAACAGTTTTGTTTTTTAGGCATTTTTAAGAAAAGATAATTCTTTATATAAATCTGCGTGCTAGGAATATCCTGGCAGCTCTAAGGTCTAAGACAGTGTTGGTTGAGAAAGATGGAAATTGGATTACAGGGAAAGAGGAGAAAGAAATCCTACATTCAAAAGAGCACCACCAGCAGTGGCTTCAGATTGCATGTCTCAGCTGTGTAGTATATTGAGCCTAATTTGGGTGTGATCCACTTTGGGGCCAGTTTATTCTTTGATATGAATGTTTTTATTTTTAAATGCATCTCTTTTTTCCTTTTTCTTTAAAATGCTATTGAAATTTTAAAGAATCAAGAAGAAAAAAATGCGTCCATAATCTCGTCCTCGTAACAAAACTGCTATTAAGCTTTTGCTACACTTCCAGCCAAATCTTTCTTCTGTAATTATTTTTGTGTGTCTGGAATTAGAAAATGGCTGTTTTTGTGAAATGCCTGCTTCTGTGAAATGTCTTTTAGTGAGTCCTTGGAAAGTTGGCTGAAGGACAAATACTGGATGATATCACAGCACATCAGCTAAATTGTCACTCCAGTCTGAAAAGGAACTTTGTGTTGCATGCTGCATTTTTCTCAGTGGATGACTAATATTTGTAGAGCATTACTATTAAATAAGTGAAAGATTTTTAAAATGATGCTGACGATGAGGATGATGGGAGACTTCTGAAAAAACTCCTCTGTGCTTTCCAGAAATTGTCTTGATTTCTGGCTAGAAGTTATCCGCTGCTGCTTTCACATATACATTCTTTTTTTTCTTCCATTTCCACTTAAATGAATCCTTTTCTTGTATCAGATATATTTTCTATGGCAGAATAATAAACTGTCTTCAGTCTTCATTCTGATTGACAGATATACAAGTCAGCTATGTGGGAATAAAAATGGTGTCAGCTAAGATGGGAATGGCCTGAATTTTCATTGGAGAGAACTTTTTTGGAAGAATGAAGTGGTTCTGTTTTATTTTGCTTGAATCAAGTAAATTACAATACATTAAAGTCACTTGTACTTTTCATATAGTTCATACTATTAGGATAAACTTGAGATTTTCTTTGTGACTCACTGTATAATGAAATTTCGCCAGTCTATTTTGATAAAACTAGGGAAAAAAATTAAGTTAATGGATATTTCACTAAATGAGAAGGAGGTCGTATAAATTGGGATGCATTCTCAGGAGTATTTTTTTTTTTTTTTTTTTGCGGTACGCGGGCCTCTCACTGTTGTGGCCTCTCCCGTTGCGGAGCACAGGCTCTGGACGCGCAGGCTCAGTGGCCATGGCTCACGGGCCCAGCCGCTCCGCAGCATGTGGGATCTTCCCAGACCGGAGCACAAACCCGTGTACCCCGCATCGGCAGGCAGATTCTCAACCACTGTGCCACCAGGGAAGCCCCTCTCAGGAGTATTTTTAATTTCATATACCATGTGTTAGAAAGCTTAGATGGTCTTTATCATCCTTGTTATTTAATCCTGGCAGATGAATTTTTCTTCTCTCTTTTGTAAAAATACATCTATCTTATAATAATAACAATAAAAATAGACCCATAGATATATTCTTAGTTGTTGGCCTGTGTCATCACTGTTTTGTTGATCAGAGTATCTTTGGCACCTCCCATAGTACCTACCTGGCAATAGCAGGCACTCAGAATTTGTTGCATAGAGGGTGTTGGTTATTGCTAATTGCAGAGTAATAAACCTTCATTTGTTTTTTATTGTGTTTTTTTTTTTGATGTGGTAATGGTTTAAGTGGAATTGTTTCTTGAATTACATTAAAAGCCAACTTACCCTTGTAGCTTTAAGGCTCTATATTAAAATTTCTTGAATATGTGCTCTCAAAGTTTTAGGCTGAATGACTTTTCTGAAATGTTTTTGACTTTCAAATGGAAATAGATTTTAGAAATAGCTGTAGTAACTTTAACCTGTTAAGTAGAATTACTGCTCTTTGCAGTTTTCTGAGGCTAATATGGTTATACATTCTGTGTTTAGCATGGTAAAAAGAGTTAGGAGGTTTAGTAATTAGTATAAATTTAAATATTCTAAAATTTATTGAAATAAATTGATAGTGGAGGACAAAGTGTTTGGTGACTAGTTTCTTTAATTTATACATAAATATATAAATATTATTTCTCTTTGTTAAAAGTGTAAATGAGCATTAAAAGTGCATAAAGAGAAGCATCCTAAATTATTGTTTCTTTTTATTTCAAGGCTGAAAACAGTGAAGTCACTTTTCACAGTTAAAAGACTATTAAGAAGACAAGATGGGGACTCCTGGTTCTGGAAGGAAAAGGACACCTGTGAAAGACCGATTTTCTGCAGAAGATGAAGCTTTGAGTAGCATTGCCAGAGAGGTATGTCTGGAAGACCCCTCTCAACACTGAGTTGTACAGATGAGAATGCTATAAAAATTCTGGGTGGAGGGTTGGAGATATATACAGACATTCATTCATTAAGCTAGTTTCAGAATGTTTACTATAAATAAGATGTTAAATATGCCCTCTAAAATACTGTATTAGAGTAAAATACAGTTACTGTCTCTTTACTTGAATATTTATTTAACTCATTTAAAATTAATTTTTCATTTTATTTTTGTGGATTAGTTGACTTCCAGGTATTTGTCCTGATGTTTTGAAATTTATAATTAATCTTCATTATTGAAACTTAAGGTAATTAGAATGTTGAAGATATGATAACTATATTACAAAAATGCTCATTGGGCTCTACAGTTAATATATTCCAGGAAGCACTGTATAAATGTTAACAGAAATAATCCTTATTTGGTGTCTGCTCAGATTCAGTGTCTTAGCTGTTTTTTGAATAATTGCAGTGGAATTTTTATGTCTAACTTTTAGCTAGTAATAGAGCTTCTGGAGCATTTTTGTTTTGGTTTGTTGACAACTCAGAAAAAAGGAAAGGGGTGTCACCTATCGAATCTCTGGCAGCATTTCCTGTTGCATATTGAAAATTTAAGATAACTCCCAGCTGTGATTTCTTAGTGAGGAGCCAACTTTGTTTCAGCCTCTTATCTGCAGCTGCAGACCTGACCATATACTAACCTGGTACAAGAATTGCTTAGAGCATTTTAAAATTGTATTCTTTGGGTGAGAATTATTCCCTCATCACTTCCTCTTTGTTATTCTTAGTAAATAACTCATTTAGGACTAGTGCTGTTTCCTTTTGACATATTACACAGTCTTTTTTTGGATCCAGCTCACTGTTACGTTTTTCCTTTTATAAGCTACTCAGCTTTTGAATTAGAAGTCAAATTTTGTAGGAGGATATTTGAAGCAGAGGAAAGTTATCTAAAAACTGATGACAAAACTGTGATAATACTTCAACAAAATTACTTTTAAAAAATCTGAGATATTTTTAGATAAAAAGGTAAAAGATATTTTAAAATGAAGTAGTGGATGACACTTTACAATGGTCTTAAGTATTTACCCGAATGAAGTATTTTGGAAGCCACGTAGTTTTAGTTGAAAATTGAAACTACTCAAAATGTTTGCTTCCAAAATTGGAGGGATTTACATACCCAGATTTCGGTAAGGGGGGAAAATGCCAGTATGTTTTAGGCTCTTTCTGTACCGTCACTGGGTGCTTGAACTCTTTTTTTGGATGTGATGCTTCATTTACAAAACTGGGTAGCATTCTAGCATCCAACACTGGAGTGCTTACTATGTGACAAATACTATTTAAGCAGTTTAAATGAATTAGTTTATTTACTCTCCACAAAATTGTGAAATGGGTTCTATTATATTCTCCATTTTACAGATGAAGAAATCATTGCATAGAAAAGATAAGTAACTTCCCTAAGGTCACACAGCTAAGAAATAGCTGAGCTTGGATTCAAACACATAGTCTCACTGTGCTGGGCTGTTTTCAGTCTTCTCCATCTCCTCCATTAATATTTTGTTTTTCTGTAGCTTTTCATGATTTTAAAAGCACTTTCACATCTTGATTCTCAAAATAACCTTATGAGTTAGGTAGGATAGGCATTGTTATTAGCCTTATTTACAGATGAGGAAACAAATGAAGCTGAGAGATTAATGTCTGGAAGGTATCAGAACTGGGACTCACATTCAGCTTTTAAAGCCATTGTTTATTTTTCTGTATCATACTACTTCCAGAAGAGCTGGACTTTTGGAGAGTTATAAGCGTGGCTTTGAATTCTGGCTGTACTAGTTGCTGGTTGAGTAATCTTGTTAAGTAACTACTCTGGACTTCATTTTCCTCATCTGTAAAATGGGAATACTATGGGCCTCCTGTATTATAGGGCTGCTGTGACAATTAAAGTAAATAGTGCATGTAAACTTTACCATAGTGTTAGGCTTCCAGTAGGCTATTTTGTTGCTTATTAATAAGTTGAAATAGAAAGTAAGAATAGAAGTAAAATATTCTTCTTTTACAAAAAATATATTTATTAAGATAGGTGTTCTAAAACGTGGTTGATCATCTGAATCTCCCAGGTTGCTTTTTCAATGTACAGATTCCCAGGTGTTACCCCATACTTGCTAAATCTGAATCTATGAGGTTGAGCTTATAAATCTGTATTTAAATACACACACAAACACACACACACACACACAATTAGGAGTAAAAACTAACAGAACCCCCATAACAATTAAAAAGGACAAATAGCTTAATCTTTCTTTTTTTTTAAGTTAAATCTAAGAGTTTAATTTGTCTTTTCCTCACTTCAAATTGTTTTTTGAGGTAGACAAGGTATACCGTAAATAAAGAAAAGTAGCCTCTTTTTCCTCCTGCTTACCGTCTGCTAAAGTATCCATGCTTCTCAGTTGGCCCCAAATGAGGCAACTAGAGGGAATGAAGAGCAAAAGAAACAAAAGGCATGAATATGTTCTGCAAACTGGATAATTTGCATGCTAAAATGTGGAACCGAGTGCACTTTAAAAATTGTTGTAAAATACTCATAAAATTTACCACTTTAGCCATTTTTAAGTGTACAGTTCTGTGGACTTAAGTACAGTCACATTGTTGTGCAACCATCATCACCATCCATCTCCAGAATTCTTCTTATCTTGTAAAACCTGTTTGCATTTTTAAAAGCTGTTGAAATGTTTGAAGATTGCTCCATGAAGGCAGGAATGTGGATGGATCTAGAACTCCCACCGTGTCTGTAATAGGCATGTTGCTGCTTTGCTGGGTGAGCATGTGTGTCACAACTCTGTGAAGACATCATAAGAGCAGGTGTTGGAGGAGGTCAGCAGCAGGTTCTCTAGGGTATCAGAAGGCCAATCTGGATGCTTACCTTTCTCGCTTGTTTGACTTTGATTGTCCCACAGGTTTGGGGGAAATGCAGTTGGAGAGTTGACTTTCAGTGAAAATTACCCGAAAGCACAGAGTGTATCAAATGGAGACCCTTAGGCAGCTAGCCTTGCAAAAGGAGAAAGATAGGGATGGATGAAAGGCAGTTATGCCACCTTACCACAGTCAGTTTGGTGAGTGTTATGAAGAGTGTTCCTGTGAGAAGTAGAAGCTTCTTGGAGGGTTTGCAAGCAGTCTTACTATGGCCTCACTGAAGCCTGGAATATTCCTCCTTTCCTTGTTGTAGAGCTGAAATTATGAAGAAAACATGTTTTCTGCACATCTCTTCAAATGGAAGTCATCAGAACGTTGCTTATTTTTGAAGCTGATGATTTGAAAGCCCTTGCAGTTCTAAAATTCTGTGATCTCTTTTGAGGTTCTGGACCCAAAGAAAATTCATACTCATAACACACAACTCTCTTGAATCTAAAGAATCAATGACAGGCATAGAAACCGATCGTCTTTTATAAGAGTTAGGGTCTAGTAAGTGGAATGTTTGGAGACTTTTAGGTTGAGCAGAATTTACGTGTATACATATTTGGTGTGCAAACCTACTTGTAATAATAAGGAAGAAAAAGAAACTATGGCTGTTTAACATTTGTAGCTGCTAGAACTTGGATTTCATTTTTTAAAATAACTTTACTGAGATATAATTCACATAACATATAGTTCACTCATTTGAAGCATACCATTCAATGGTTTTTACATGATTCACTTTTAATTTGTGGTTAAAATATATATAAGAAAATTTGCCATTTTAACCATTTTTAAGTCTACAATTCATTGGCATTAATTACATTAACAATGTTTTATAACCAGCACCACTGTCTATTTCAAAAATCTTTCGTCACCCCAGACAGAAATTCTGTAACCATTAAGTAGTAACTCCATTGCCCCCTCTTTTAGCCCCTGGTAACCTCTAATCTACTTTATGTCCCTATGAATTTGTCTAATTCTAGATACTTCATATAACTGGAATTATACAATATTTGTCCTTTTTGTGTCTGGTTTTTTTCACTTAGCATAATGTCTTCAAGATTCATCCGTGTTGTAGCATGTGTCAGAACTTCATTCTTCTTTTTTTTTTCCTTGTAAATAACTTAATTCCTTCTTTTATAGCTGAATGATGTACCATTGTATGTATATATTACACTTTGTTTATCCATTTATCTATTGATGGACCCTTGGTTGGATTTTATTATTTTGCTGCTTAAAGAGGTAAATTCCAGGCATCTGGAATGATGAGTAGTGAGAACCAGAAGTTTGTGGTTTTGATTATAGATTAGCAGCCTGAGAAGGATACAAAGGGAAGAATTGTGCTTAGTTTAAAAGATACTGTCCAGAGGGCTTCCCTGGTGGCGCAGTGGTTGAGAGTCCGCCTGCCGGTGCAGGGGACACGGGTTCGTGCCCTGGTCTGGGAAGATCCCACATGCCGCGGAGTGGCTGGGCCCGTGAGCCATGGCCACTGAGCCTGCACGTCCGGATCCTGTGCTCCGCAACGGGAGAGGCCACAACAGTGAGAGGCCTGCGTACCGTAAAAAAATAAATAAATAAAAGAGATACTGTCCAGTGTTATTGTTTTATGGAATAATAATCGTAATAGCTTGATAGAGCTAATGATTTTCTCATAGTTATTTAGCTATTTTATTTGAGTATTCATTTTTAGGCCATGTCGAACTAAGGATAAAAAACTCTTGGCAAGGATAGCAGTTTTTTAAAATGCAAAGAATTACCATAATCAATAATAATTATGGGTAATACCATCTTTCATTTAAGAATAAAGTAGTTTTGGGGGCTTCCCCGGTGGTCCAGTGGTAAGGAATCTGCCTTCCAATGCAGGGGACATGGGTTTGATCCCTGGTGGAGGAACTAAGATCCCACATGCTGCGGTGCAACTAAGCCCACACGCCTCAACTAGAGAGCCTGCATGCCACAAACTACAGAGCCCATGTGCCTTGGAGCCTGTGTGCCACAGCTAGAGAGAGGAAACCCGAACTCCACAACTAGAGAGAAGCCCGCGCACCAC